ACCACATCTCTGTTCTCTAACCGTTACAGATAATTAAAAGAAGTGTTTGTTTTAGCAGTTCTCACAAACATAAAACTATACATGAATTCCTCTGCTGTAAATTCTTAGATTGTAGTACCCGTTTAGTGAGTTGAAAGTCTCTTCAGCAATCTGTGAAGTTCTAAAACATATAAACTTTCTTTTCATTTGTATATACATGAAAATATAATTAGAAACAGCATTTGTATACCCTAGATTTTAGGTCTTATTTAGGATTGCATTTTGTTTACAAGCAGTCAAACTTGTTTTCTACAATTTATAACATGCATGTTTTTGTTGTTTTAAATGTATTTATCTTTCCACTTTGTAACTCATTAACTGTAAGGAGTGTATATTTCCTTAATCCATAGTCACAGCAGGCTAGGTTTGGTGAGGTCAGAAACTCCAGCTGGGCAGACCAAAGGCAGATCCGTTCCTTTATACTATAAGATAAGGAAAGTTATTAACTCTGCGTTGTGTGGTGCTTAAAGCATTACAACTAATATAGGTAATCAGTCATTAAATGCATATTGTGCCTTCGTCCTCATTTCTGCAATTTACTGCTTTGCCTCTTAACACAATGTTTAATAAACTGCCTCTCACCGAGACTGCCTGACCTTAATCAGTTTTGTAACTTAAACCTGTAATATGTATAATTGTGTGATATTTTAGGTTTAATTATCCTCTAAAATCAACTGCATGTGCCCCCAGTAATTAAAATGGAGGTCTTAATATCATTTCTCCTGCCCCCCCCCCTCTTCACCACCCCAATATTGTTTCCTTTATTTTTCTATGCAGTCGGCCAGCTTTTCCAGCCGAAGTTAAAGGAGACTACAGTTCTTTGGCAAATTCTAAACATGACGCTGTTAGTAACTCTTTGTGTATCTGTATAGTGTGTATACTGGTTATTATCTGAAACATTTTTATTATCTGTATAAGACTTAAGATTTTGTGGCACAAAGCAAACAATTTAATTTGTATTTTGTATGTTTCTGTATGTTATTGTGCGAGATTTTTGAATGATATTTTAAATAGTTTTTATTAATTGTAAGACAATTTTTATTCATTTACGATTGCTCCCCTCTCCAATTTTTGCACATTCCGACGTAAGAATCTGGAACATGAGAACTCTCCTTTTTTCAATACTTTTTTTTGTTCTGATATTACTAGAATATATGCTGGTATATGAGATAGTGTGGTGCCAGGATATCATGAATCTGATTGATTCTTCTTTAGGCTTCATCTCAGCTGTAAAAAAAAAAAAAAGAAAGAAAAAAAACGCAGTGTTCCTTGTTCAAAAGAGATTGATTTTGGCAACAAAGAAAATGTTAATATACCTGCTAAGCTGGACCACGTATATATTATGAACAGTTCTCTCACTTCTCATCAATCTTCCAAACCAACAACTAATGTTGAAAGCATTCATTACTTTCATAAAATAAGAGTAAATTTCACTCTCCCATGGCTTCATCAAACTCCTATCGTCTGCTGTTGAAATTTGTGGTGTTTGTAAGGGAGAGTTCTTCATTCCTGTATATTCATATTATTATATAAGCCAGTCACTTTAAGTGTCTGGTACACTTTCTTTGTGTTAGCACTGAACGAACGCATATATCTGTGAACAGTTCTGTGATTTCTTATCGGTATTATCAATCATAACTACTTCTCAAACGATCCATTACCTTCACAAAATTATAATAAACGTCACTCTTTCGTGATTTCATCGAACTTTTACCATCTTAACCAGTACTAGCCAAAGCTTGCCCTCGCAGTATCTACAGCCATCTTTTATGTTAATAATGATAAACGTGTTCACTTCTATTCCCTGGTTTGCACGAAAGATAGTCTACTATACTTTGCTACAGAATCCTTAATGTCTTCCTTTGTTGTAGGCTTTTAATTGCAATGTGTGCTAACTCAGCTGATTAACTTTTAATTACACAGTAAGATTACATGAGTCTCATATGAATTAAAAAATCAAAACGTGAAACTCTTGTAAACTTTTTACGTCAGGTTTAACAAAATGATAGCTTATATTAACAATATCTATGAAGCTGTTAAAATTTAATTTCACTAGTATACATTATTACTCTAGTTGAAATTGGAGTACTTGTACACCATTTGTATGTGTATGTAATGCTACTGAAATTGAAAGATCAAAATGGTTCAAGAAGTGGTCACTTACAGTATTGGAAATAACAAAAGAAACACACAGGAGACACTAATATAAGACTCACAAGTAATGAGTAATTGCATATAACTTGTTAACTTATCATTAATTCAATAAATTATTACAGGAAAAAGGAAAGACTTCACAATGTACTTGTAGTTTTTAATTGCTTTAAATAGACCAGTACACATTGTTTTTGTGTTTACCAATATATCTTTGTGTAATATTGTTCAAAATTCTCTGTTATTCCACATAACTCGGCTAAATTGTTGGTTGCCATATGACCTTCTCTCTTTCATATAATTCCACATAACTTTGACAGTATTCTGAACTTTGTGGAGGCCTAACTATTGTATCGAATAGTAATTCGACTCCTTTCTTTTCTTCTGTTTATCGTTATTTAATTCAGTCTTTCGATAATTATATTGGTGAAGATAAATACCTGCCTAACAAATTTTGTTTCTGAAGGAATTACATCATGGATCTACTTGAACCTATCAGCAGTCTCGATGCCATCAATTTTGCGTAGATCTCCACCTCATTGGCTGAAAAGCATCTTACATTTGCTTAATTCAGTCCCCCAAGCATGCTTACTGTAAATGTTGTACATTTATTATGAACCCATTTTCTTCTCTGCCATTGAACAAGCTATCTTTAATTTTTGCCAAACAATTGAAGTTGGATTAGTCTGTAAGCTTTGCTCATATCATTTTATTAAGAATAATTCTCATTTCAACACTTTTGTTTGGTAGTTTATTCTAAATGGTGGTTTTGAGCAGCTACATATTCATTGATGCCAATTCGTACTAATTTGTATCTTACCATTCTGGAGGTAATATTCACACCTATACTTACAGCTACGCCATTGGCGACATCTCCACTAGACTGTCATGTATCCCCTGAATTACTTAACATCACCTTTGAAGAGTTTGGCCTTTCTATTTGGGTCGTTTATATTATCATCAGTACTAGTTTCACATACCCATTTCAGTGTTTAACCCATCTCCTACTGAAGCCTGAAATTTCTCCTCAGTTTGTAACATGAAGTAGCATTCTCCAACCAAAACGTTTTATTTCTGCACATTTGTCACATGTATGTCCTCTGAGCAATGAGTACAATCAACACAGGGCTGTTGGGAATAATATGAATGTATGTGCTTTTATAAACATTGTGTTAGTTTGTTTGGCTCTCTCTGATTGGTTGGATGACAACCAATCACAATGTAAACAGTCAACACGGGCTGTACTCTGGTGCAGTTCCTTTTTATACAATAGAGGGAGAGCTATTACATATTATTTACATTTTAGACCCATTGTATTCACTGTTTCCACAATTATTTCCAATATTGTATATATAGAAGGCTTATTATTTTTTAATTGTGTCGATATGCGGTTCAAGTATATCACTCTCTACGCTTTAAACCTTTACACTTAAAATTGCATTCTGGATTACGTGATCATTTCTGAATACACATGCTTTCGCAATTGCAAGCTAAGAACGTTGAACATTATACGCTTATGTAATGCTTTCATTTCATTGTTTTCCATTTCTGCCTTGCTAACCACAAACAAAATCTGTAATTTATTGTGGAAAGAGAATGTTACACGAGCCACTCTTTGCTTTCAAAAGATCTGTTTATAAATATAAAATAATGTTGAACGGTTTTTATTGTAAATTAGTAAAAAAAAAAAAAACTAAAAGCAAAGAATCATTTATCCATAAGATAAACGTTAACCAGAAAGATTATTTTTTTTTTACTCAAACTTGGGGTTATCCATAAGATAAACGTTAACCAGAAAGATGATAATTTTTTTTTTACTCAAACTTGGAGTTATCCATAAGATAAACGTTAACCAGAAAGATGATATTTTTTTTTACTCAAACTTGGGGCGTAGAGAAATTAAATGATAGACCCTTATGATACTTTTTTACAGTTAGAAAGCGTCTCATAAACTATCACATTTTGAGAAGAAACTCCTCTAATGCTTTATTATACAAAATTGAATATCTTTACCAATGAGAAAGAGAGATACATCGTCCTATAATACACGTTTCCACAAAACTTAATATATAATCTAGTCTATAAATATTACTAAAAATATAACAATAACCATTTAAATTTATTTCAATATTTATTGTGATGGAAGTGGGGTATAGGTGAAAGTAAAACATGAATATACATGAAATAGAAAAATCAAAAACATACACGTATTTTGTCTTCGAAGTGACGTGAGGCTTTGAAGCCAAAATAGAAATTCTAATAAATAGTACTTTGTAACATTCGTTGTTATTCTGCAAAAAGTTCAGATTATTTTTTAAAAGAAACTGGGTGAGTAATAATAACTTTATTTGAACTTTTATTCATAAACCTAACAGACAAAGAAAAGTTATTACACTGGTAAATCTTGGGCTATCTGTGCTGTGCCCACCTCAGGTATCGAAATATGAGTTTTAGTGTTATAAGCCTTCATACTTATCACTGAGCCACTTGGGAACGGTAAATCTAAAAAAACTATTGTATATCTATTTCCAAAAATACAATATTTAAACGAGTTTAGTGGACTAAGCAAGGCTTTCTCAAACACTTTTTTTTTATTCTCATTACAAAATGGGTTCTTTTAGAACAGTTTTTCCAGTCTTTACATTATTTATCTTACATTTTATGTCTTTTAAATTTAAAAAACAGAGTGTATAACATATTTTTATAATTTTTACTTTGAATTATTTTTATTAGTTTTGTACCAATAAAACTTAGCAAGTGAAAATTATCATATATAAATTATCCTAACAGAATGAATTCTTGTTTTTCAGATATTTTTCTTTAGCAACAATTGCGCTCTTGACGTTAGGGGATCCAACTGTATTTCCCTTTCATAAGCATACTCCACAGAACCCCAAACTTTCCCCACATTGTGCTATAATAGTACGTAGTGTCAAAAGAGGTGGTGGTGGTAACGACGCTGGTCCATACTCTTTTCCTCCACCACCCAGAGGATTTGGTGCAAGTGAGGGCTTGCTGTACATAGCAAACTTCGTACCTAAGTAAGTGGGAATTATTATTTTAATATTGCATGATTTATTATTATTCAAAACACGGTTATAAGGGGAAAACACACACCTTATATTGGTATTGTGATAATGAAATAATGTTTGTAGGTTTATATGCGCTATAGTTATATTCAATTATTGGTCATCTTTAATACTTCAGAAAATCTAATCTTGGCATTCCAAACAGATACTATTAGCGCTTATGAAAATAACTATACGTTTACTCTTCTTAAATGTTTTACTGAATGTTGAATTTAAGCGTTTTCTAAAAATATGACTGTCTACCAAAGATAAATACTGATAAAAAAGGGTAAGTTCAGTTGAATTTAATAGTGGTTAAATACTACTGATTTAAAATCATTTAAAGAACACAGAAGTGATTAATTAGAAAGAGAGAGATTCAGGATCCTTGGTGCTTTTGGAAAGCGGTTTGAAACGGAAATGGTCATTTCACGCTCGATAAAAGATACAACAATTATATGGTTAAATTTCAGAAAATAGAAGAGTTGCTGAATCTTCCTCCTTATCGTTTGGTCCTAAATAGCCACTATCTAAACCGGCTGAGCATTGGATTAGTACCTGGGAGTGGTCAGTCGGTAGGTGCTGGCTGAACGTTACATTATTATCTAGGAGTGGTCAGTCGTTAGATAATGGTTGAGAGTTACATTAATACCTGAGAGTGGTCAGTCGGTAGACACAGGTTGAGCATCGAATTAGCGTATGGAAATATTCACTTAATAAATAATGGCTAATCCTTGCATTAATAACTGCAAAAAGGTCAATCGATAGATACTGGTTAGCATTGCATTAATACCTGGAAGTGACCAATCGTTAGATACTGGTTATCATTGCATTAATACCTGGAAGTGACCAATCGATAGATACAAGCTGAGCGTTGTATTAGTATCTGGAAGTGGTCAGTCAGTAGATAATTTGAAGTAAACAGGAAGTCAACGGATTTAAAATAAGCTTAATACATACTTATAAGTAATTAAGTTGAAATCTTTTTGTTAATTATATTTTTAATATCCAAAGTATAAATAAATAAAGAACGGAAGACAGGAATGTATAAAAAGTTATTGAAGCATAATAACAATTATACTACATCTGATATTCGCCTTCTGCACTGAAGCGTAATAGAACTCGGGGGAAAAAATATAAATTCTTAAGTTCTTAGACTACCACGTCATAAAAGGCTCACCAGAACCTAGATCGTCACTCTTCCAGAACAATGTTAATAATTTGGATACAAGATGAGTTTATGTCGAAATAAAGTATATCCTGCTTGTAAACAAAATAAAGTGGGGGAGCAAATACCGTGAGGAGCCTTTACCTCATCATTATTCAGAGCGAATAATTTCAAGGAAACGAAATACAAACATAATAACACTTTAAAAAATAAACATCCTTACATACACTTGCGTGTCTAAATATATCGCTGTCATGGTAGGATAAAACATGAAATCACACACCCTTGACGCTATGGTTTATCTTTCTGCGCGTTGTCTAAATAAGTTTTTTTTTTAATTATACAATTATAGTCTTTCGTGTGTTAGCTGGAATTTTTGATGTACTGGTTTTAACAGTATTATTCATTGGAGTTAACCCTTAATATTTTTAGTTGTATAACACAAAACTATAGACTCTTAAGTGTTTACATAACTTCTGTTTTGTCTTATCGTAAAGATACCATAATATTTTACCAAATTGTTTTTTTTTTGGTTTTTTTTGCTTTATCGCTGATTGTAGCTGGATTTCTTTTCCTTTTCCGGTTCGGCTCCGAAGAGGACCAAAATTTTCGGCTCTTATTTCGAAAGTTCCAAACACCTTATTTCGTTTCGTTCTGGTTCGAACGTAATTAAGTACCAATTAATACCGGTTTAATGTTTTTCTAGTCAAGTATTACTCTATTGGTGTTCATGTGTCTTTATTTTCTGGAATAGCATTATACAAAGAATATGAAATACAATAAACTCCAGATAACTCGTCGCTCCAAGTGTGGCGTTATCTGTCTATATCAATAAACGCACTTACTTACTTCCTATAGGAACAGCAATGTTACACCTTTTAACGAAAATTACAGCTGCCTGCTTCACTTTTCTTTTCGCCATTACAGATTCCTTAGCCCCAGTTCTATTTTCTAAACTAAAAAAAAAAAGCGAAAACTTTGCTGAAAACACCAAACAAAAACAAATGTTCTACAAGTAATTAGTTACGCGTAAACAGTCTTATTACCACTTTCAGACATTCAACAAATGTATTGTGTTCACACATGCAACTTTTCTATACGTTTATTTCGGATATAACAATGAAATTAAATAACTTTTTTTTTTTTACACACGAGTTCGTAATTCACATCTTAAATTAAAATCGTACAATTTAAGACTATCACTTTTGCAAATAAAGAACAGCAAGGAATGGCATTTTCATTAGGAGTAGATTTACAGTATTAACACTCGTCATTCCATCTTATTCTACAATAGAAAAAAAAATGGCATAGCTCAAGTTACGATGAAATTACATAACGCACAAGTAGCACCCGTGTTTAAACCTCGCGGAGAAATGTAATTTTTCTTGTTTACTTTTTGTTACCTAACCTAATAAGTTTTTAATGTTTAAGTTTTCTTTACATCTGATAAATATATATGTGTGTGTGCATATATATATATATTATAATAATAATAAATGAAAATTAATTTTTACGTCTTCTTTACATCTTACAAATATATATATACATATATAATATGCATGAAAAACCAAGAAATTTAGCACTTACTTTAGGCGTAGAGACTGTTTTGTGTTGGAGTAACCTGCTACATTGTATTTTCGAACAAGGTACCAAAATTAATTCACTTACCTTTCAAATATCCATATTTCAAACCCAAACAATAATTGAAACAGTAAAATAAAATAACCGAAACTAATATAATTTACAGGGTTTTCTAACTAATCTATAAACTGGTAAATAAAATTTCGTTGCTTACTAAAACCCCGACTTCAGTTTACATTCAAGACATCTATTTGGGAAATGGTGCATTTAACCAAAATAAATTAAAATGGAGTCGTCATAATAACATCAATCACAATATGAGGTTTCTATTGATTATAAAATGTACCATTGACAAGTAAGCCTAGGTAAATAAGTAGTTTCACAAGCATGAAGAGTTGGGAGTAGCTTCTGTGGTAGGTGTAACACATTTATTGATATATCAGAGAATAAAGAAGGTGGGAGGATTTTATTTTAAATTTTAGTTTGTCAATGCCCATAGTTGGTGTTTCTAATTGGTGAATATTCTGAAACCTGTATGAGGGAAGGAAGAAAATATTAAAAGTAGAATTAAGAGCATAAAGCATCACGTGACACAGAGAAGTGAAGATTGAGAATTTATTGATATGTCTATTTTTAAATCAAGAAATTGAAACTTATATAATATTAAAGGATAATTTATAAACAACGTTTTTATGTCAAGTGTATTGAATACAATAATAATAAAGTTGTTTAATTATATTTTAAATACAACTCTGTAAAGAATTTTTTTTTTCAAATTACTGTATTTTGAAAACAGTGGAAAGAAATAAAGATAGTAAGCTAAAGATAACGAAAAATCTTATTAACTAATAAATAAACTCTTTGTATCTTTTTCGTTCAGAAAGTAATACATTCATTTCGTTTCTGTTCCTTGAAAAGTTCGCGTTCTTTTTTGCTTTCATGGTTCAGTTTCCGCTTCCGGTTTGAATCCCTGCTGTGATTTTCATAGCTTTTGGAAAATCTTCAATTAAACATTTATAGTAATATAGCGGACCAAATACTAAATCTGAAATATAGCGTCCGGAATACAAAGATTTGTTTTCGATTTCTAGAGGAAATAAATATTGCTACAATTTTTAATTGTCTAAAACACGATTATGAATTTATTGAGTAGCTTATTCAAATGTAATCTCAAATGTCAACAATGTCTATCTAGTGTTAGTGTATTCATAATTGTATAAAAAACAAGTTGATAAATTACATTAAAAACCTATATGACGTGTATTTGTTTATATTACCCTTCTGCATATAATTTTTTTAGTTACCTGATTTATGTTTGTTTATTTTATTAATATGTATGAACTAAGTGAATTAGGTTGCATTTCGATAGCTGTACTTCATAATAAAAATTTTAATATTATTAACTTTAGATATAGGTTTAGCTTGATAATTTGTATATATATATATTTGGTTTGGGGATAATCAGGCAGGCGGTAGCTCTGTCTACGTAGGGATGGCCCGGATTTTCTTCGAAATTGTATTTTAAATATCTCCTAAAGAGGTCATCAGAACTTTACAATACTATACAGTGTTTCCTTTTATAACAATATCTATGTAATGACAGAGTCATTATTTCTGGGAATGTCTGTAAATATCATAGCAAAAAGTTTGAATTTCTTGTTCTTCTTTTTTATTACATGATAACTCAAAAACCAATAGTGTCAACCAGTTTCACTGATGTGACATAGTTTCAAACGAAGTATCCGCTTTTATAAATATTATTAATTAGTAGTTATTAAATAAATCATAATTTTAGTATAAACGAAATTAACATTACCCCTTGAAGTCAGCTTTTTTTACAAACATTTGGTGTTTCTTTAAAAAGCTTAAGTACAGGGTGAAACAGGAATTACCAGCTAATAATAGATAGATAATAAATATTATAGTTGGAACCCCATTGTATTTAGAACTTGGATATAAATACAACCTTCCTATGTCTATTGAAAAACTGCATTAAAAAAACAAGTAAAGAAAAACTTTTCAGAAAAGGAAGTAAATGTAGGGATGGCTAATATCAATCCTTCAAAACCCTTTTTTTTTGTTTGTTTTAATTCATGCACAAAGCTGCACAATGGGCTATCTGTGCTCTGCCCACCACGGATATCGAAACCCGGTTTTTAGTGTTGTAAGTCCGCAGACATACCGCTGTGCTACTGGGGGCCTTTAAAAAGAATGGAAACAAGATAGTAGAGATGTTATTTTCATCATATTTACATATATATCACAGGCAAGAATTAACATATAACAATATATATCACAATTGAGTTTAATTTATCTTGTTTTTGTCTCTTAACATTCTACTACACTGTGTGTCTGTGCTATTATGTAGGGATAATGCAAGTGCTATCCCTACTATCTTGTTTGCATTGTTTTTGAAGGATTGATATTAGCCATCCCTACATTTACTTCCTTTTCTGAAAATTGTTTTCTTTACTTGTATAAACAAAAACTCTTTTTTATCTTATTTTTTATATAGAATTGTTACTAAATGCTATATATGCTTTAAAATGTATAGAATTATTCGTAAACTTATTTTACTACAAGGTTCTATGAGAAATTGACTCTGGAACCTCACAGTTTTGGCTTCAAAAGCGTTCAAAATAAAACTCACAAAAAACAATACAAGCATTTGAAACCACTGTGCACTTGTAACAGATAAATTCAATTATTTCAGTTTAAAAGCGGCTGTTTCATCGAGGTATGGAGAAATATGCATTACATACAACGATGTGAACTCTGCTATTCACGAAGCTCGTACAAGATACGGTAAGTTACTCAAGATTACAAATTGTTATATTCGGTATTTCAGTCTTAATTATTTCACTTAAGCTACTGCTAATCCTGTTCTAGATACTCTCATTTCGAGCTCAGATAACCCGCAGTACTCATACAATTTGTGGTTAAGAGTTAATAACCCGCACTACTCATACAATTCGTGGTTAAAAGTTACTCGTCCCTGAAAGTTTGTGGAATTAATCATACGTGGTTTTTAAAGATATCTCGGAAGAATAAAAACTAGAATGGTCACATGGATTCAAATACAAGCTGTTAACCTTATAGCGTCAGAAAGAAGAATGTTAATTAAAAACATTTTGCCACCCAGGTTATAAAGATACCGTGGGAACTTAAAAAGTGTCATCAAGTTCTGAATGTAGATGTCATGATTTTTCTTTGGGTTTGAAATTATGACAAAATGAATGGGTCATTACCATGACTTTCTCTTTCAGTTATCAACAACGAGTATTTTCGTCAATCGAGTAACTCTTTATTTTTCTGATTGGTTGCTATAAAATCGTTCATTTTGGCAATTTAGCCGTAGAGGTAAGGATTGCATTCGTAGAAGCTCTAGCTGAATACCCTATGTAGATACCAGCAGGTTCTAAAAGCTAGAAATTTCAACTATAAACCTTAACTTTTACATTATAGAAGCAGAAGACTATATTAATTAAACAGCTCCTTATTATATTGTAAACTATTGCTTTAATAATAAAACTATGAATCCTTGGTTCATAAATGTCATTTTGTTACAAAGTTGTAATTGACTTATGCCTAATTGCAAACTTAAGCTTAAGAAACGTCTACAAAGAATTTATTAATCCCTGATTCACAGTGACTGCTATATATGTATACCTATACCAGTGTCAGGTGTGTTAGTTTCCTTACAAAATGTGGTTTTGTTAGAAAGTAGAAAACCTGTTCTGTTTCCCCAAGGTCACTTGCCGCCACAAATACATGACTTATCATCCAATTATCCTGAAGACAAGCATATTGCTCCAGTAGGTGAAGTCATAGAGGAAGCTACTCGAATTTTAGCTTACAAGTAAGTGCTTTGTCATATTTATCTCTGTCTGTCATAAGATAAATAACTCGTCATATTCGTAGTATTAAACTGTGATATGGAAAATATACTGAACATTTTAACCATCACCTTATTTTTATGTTTCTACTTAATGAATATGTAATGTTGTCTTCATTTTTGAAAGGTTTCACCTTAATATGTTTTTGTACAGGGTGAATAAAAAGTCACTTCATGCATTCCGTTGCTCCTAATTCCCAATCCTTAACACTTCTGTTAGTGGGATTAAATGATTAGATGTGCATGCAAATGAGGTCATGGGGAACGCATTTTAAAAGGTTGCAGAGTGTACCACCTGAGGGCACGATTTACATTATGTGACGTCACCTCTGACATTAATTCCTTTGTATGTGTGCTGATAGAGCTATCAGGTGTGTTAGTTTCCCTACAAAGTGTCTGCGACCAGAGTTTTCTCAAGATGAGGTATCACTTGTAAAGCTTTTCTAAAGCAATGAATGTTATGAAGGGCGGCTTTACGCGCTTTTCGTCATGACAGAGGTTAATCCCATTCATAAATAGGAGGTGACAAAATCTGTAGCTGACGCTTCACGATCAGGGCGCCCTGTTGCAGAAATTCAACAAGTATCATTTAACATCGTCATCGAATTTGAATCATTTGACATCGTTCGGGGCAACCCCCAAGCAGTGCACAGCACTCATCAATTGGTCAGATTTACTTAGCCACTACAGTAAACTTTGTGGAAGATGATGCACGAGACACTAAAACTGTTTCCACACACAGTATCGACCCAAAAAGCCACACCACTGAACTTTGCTATGGAATTTATTGTACGTATTCATGTGGATGACAATTGATTGGGGTTAACAACATTTTGTGGACTGATGAAGCCCACTTCCTCAACCAACTGAACACCCACAAACGCTTTATCTAAAAATGATTAAATGGGTTGCCTATACCAGCACTGTCATCATTAAGCCCATTTTTTAGGAGCCCACAGATCATGATTTACGATTCGTTAAAGTACCTGGTGCACGTAAACAACAACATGGTGTTACTCTACTTACACTAGAAGGGGATTCAGCAGGAGACACCGAGTTCATGCAAGATCGTGCACCACCACATGTTGCCAATGTATTGAAGAACCAGCTACATAATACTTTCGGCGAACGAATTGACAGTAGGGGATCCTCACCTGTTTTTCACCAGATCTCACACCTGGTTATGGTGTTATCTGAAAACTACTGGAAATCCTTACTGGGTGTAGATCTTAAAACCAATATTCAGAGCCACATTATTACCACCCACAGCTGTCAGATGCGGGCAGCTATGTTCCCTGTGTTACCACGTCTGGAAGCTGTTATTGAGAATGGTAGCGAACATTGTGAACGCTTACTCTAATGAGTTAAACCAGTGCAGCAAAATATTTCAATAAATTTGTGTTGGTTATTTCATTTTCTATTGATTTAAGCGTGACGTCACATAGCATAGGTGGCACCTCAAGTGGCAAGATTTGAAAACTCTAAAAATGCGTTCCTTATGAATCCATGTGTATGCACACATAATTCCGCTAACATATGTGTTACAGTTTGGCAGTTACGAGCAATATAATGGATGGATTAACTTTATAGTCACCCTGTACACTAACAAAATTACAGAATATTCCTGTATCTTGTTGTTTTTTACTTCTCCTAAGTAGTGTGTAAGACCAAATATTTTTAACGGCGGCATAGTGGATCATAGAACGGCTCTGAGTTATTATTATTTTTTGTTGTTATTGTTTTTCAAGTACAAACTTTTAGCTCATAGCTCCGTCATCTTTTGACCGATTTAAGATCTAATTACAGTTTTGTACTCAGGAGGTCAAACCCTTTCGATTGATGCATCTGACCACAACTAAGGTCTCATATATTAGTTTACTTTAATCCTGCCTAAAATAATTTCAAGTGCCGCGGCTATTGAAGATTCCCTCTCGTTTTTAATTAATGTTATTTAATGCTTCATACTTTCACTTAAAAACAACAAATCTAATATTCATACAAGTACAGGTTAGTGAAGAATTCATATCATGCACTCGTTGTAAAATATTTTTGTTAATATTTGAAGTTTTATTGTGTGGAATCGGTATAACTTTTGTTCTGAAGGTTCCGTTTGTCCTTTGAAGTTATAATAAATGGCTTACCACAAGTTGACACAACCAAAACAGCAGCAAAAGAGATCTGTCCTACTTTCTTAACTCCTGTGAAATGTGAACTGAACCGTTACCGCACAATTACCGGCATGTGCAACAACCTTGACCATCCTTCCTGGGGTAGCGCTCGGTCATCTATGATACGTTACGTGCCTCCTGTCTACGCAGACGGTAGGTGGCAATATAGGAGACAATATTATATTAGGATATAAAACTAACTGTTTTCTGTAATTTTAAAATACTTATGATATTATAAACAAGTGGGGGAGTGAAAGTATCATCACTTGTAAAACATATCAACACGTAAGTATTATGAGCATCAGACATTTTTCTTCTTTTGCTCAGAAGAGTAATGAAATAATAAAAATTTGTGTAGAAATTTTTCGATACAGACTTGAGTTTTGTATTGTCGTGATGAATTTAGTCATGTTTACTTAATTCTATATCTTTGAACGAAACCAATATCTAAAAATATTTATTAATCTGAACTATAAAAATATAAAAATCAATAAAAGTTGAAATATTTCATTAAAATGTTACTTGCTTCTCTGAGATGACCTTTCATTAGATGTAAATGCAATATAAGCTTGACGAAAGAAGTCCACCCGAAAAGTTAATAGATACAGTTATGCACGATATATAACTCATCTCTGTGAGTTGAAAATCTAATGTTATGAGTATTATTTGACAAATATTATTTATACATGTAGCTCACCTTTATTACACTTTATCTTGTGAGTTTTTTTTTTATATGTAGAGTTTAATATGATATAAGTGAACCTTTCCTTAGTAATAGAAAAAGGTTCAGTGCCTATATTTTTTAAATTTTCTGAATTAAGAAGAAGAAAAAGGTAAAGACGGCATCTTATTTCGTAAATAATTTTGAACTTCGTTAACTTCTTAGCGATTTCTGTTCCTCGCCGTGCTTATGATGGGTCGGATCTGCCCAGTCCTCGTGTGGTTAGCTTCGTTATGCATCATGACATCGGCCAGCACGACCGTCAGCTTTGCAACATTTTGGTAGCTTGGGGACAGATGATTGACCATGACATGACCTTTGCAGCTCCTACTTTAGGTAAGCATTTCTCAGTTTAACTAAACTATATACTTCCATGTTGCCTCCCAGTGGCACAGCGGTATGTCTGCGGACTTACAACGCTAGAATCCGAGTTTCGATACCCGTGGTGGGCAGAGCACAGTTAGCCCATTGTGTAGCTTTGTGCTTAATTTCAAACAAAAAACTTCCATGTTAGTAAAAACGATGATAGCCTCGATCGTAGCTTCATTGATTTTAGTTGACTGTTAATTAAGAATTGTTTTTTACGTATCTCGTGCTTTCTCACCTTTTAGATTTATTTGTACATTTATTTCAAATTGATAAGTGTAGCACTGTGGTTTATTGAATCCAATTTTTCCTATGGTTACATGATCCCATCTTTAAATATATTGTTCCCAAGCGGATCAGTAGTAAGTTTACGAACTTACAATTCTGAACTTCGGGGTTCGATTCTATGCGGTAAACACAACAAACAACCTTTAAATATAATGTAATCTGGAATTAAAGAACAAATATTGATCTAATTTCCTTTCAATATAAGGTAATATTTAATTTTTAAAAAATAACTGAATTTGCATATATACATTTTCATTTAACCTTGTCCCATCGTCGGTCTTAGCAAGTACGAGCTCCTAAACAGTAAACTAAACAGATCATACAGTTCGCTAATACATTATAAGCCAGCGGAGGGTCTAGGGGAACTTATACCCACACTTTTAAAGACATTTTTGTAATATCAAGGCTCAGATTAGTTTTCTGTTATTTCAAGGGATCACATATCTCGTTGCACTTTTGCGAGATACGTGAATACACTGTTGTAGGCTTTGTTGTTGTTTTTAATTTAGACGTTTGTATTGCTGTTTGGCCAACACAGAAGTCAGGTGATGAGCGCGTGGTTTAACGTTTAGAATTGTTTCCAAACGTTTATAATAGTATGAACAGTATAGAATGCAAGTTAGTCTAGAATACGTGGTTACTTGTGAGGGTTTGTTTCAGTATATTATTGGTCATACAATCTATTAGAAAGTTACACTGAGTTTGAAGTAGCGAGATATTTTATTGGACTTATTCACCAGTTAGTGTTTGTGCCATGATTATTGAACTTGTGTTTTGACAAAATAATAAGTATTACGATGTACATTTTGTAGAGCACGGGAATTAGCAAGTAAGTGAAATTGTTGTATTAGCTTCTGCTTGGAACTTATGTCTACCAGTATACATTAGTTTAAGCTAAATTGTAGTCGAAGACATAAAACGTTTTCGTCATCACCAAGTAGACTGGATTTTGAATTATTCTTTTTTACAGAATAATCCAAAAGAACACGCCTAACAATATAAACTATTAAAGTAATACGTCTTAATTTTGCAATTTTTAATTCAGCAGGTCTATGTAGACATATAATCACTGTGTGAGTAAAATACATCTCAAAATACAATACATATAATATACACGCCACCATTACTGATAAGGGGTGGAATTGCCTCATACTGGTATAACTCAATGATTAGTAGTAAATCAAATGATAGATTGGGTTTCACATTTAATTCTTAGTTTTTAAAACAATTTGTTAACTGAATAATTCAAGAGAATAAATTAGTAACATCAATTCTGCATGTTATTTAGACTCCTATATAAATATAGGATCGTTCTGTGAATTAAAGACATCTCAAAACACCCCAAATATGTTCAATATATTCGGTAAGATTTCATTAGATAATTATAACTAATATCATCTGACTGGATCCTTGACAGGAACTGGTGACGCTTCAGTTGCTGTATTTAAATATTTCTCAGCTTAAAAACCAGTAGGTTGTGTCCTAGTGGTTAGTATGCTGGATTATGGCTCGGAGAGTTCATGGCTCACGTCCCATTGCTGTGAAAAAGCAATCGCACTTCACACTTTGAGGCTGTAGGTGTGTTATAAGTGTGATGGTCAAATCTCACATTTGCTTAAAGTAGCCAAAGAGTTGATGCTTGATGTTGTTTACATTCTGTCTTCCCTCCAGTCTATCAGTTCAAAATTAGGGACAGCTAGGCAGATAGCCTTTGTGTAGCTTTCCCTGAAACAAACATATCGAAATAACCTACATCGCATCTAGACAAGTAGCATATCAAAAATAGATTATTATCAAATTATAATTTTTACCTAATGTTTCAGTTAAGACACTTATGTACGTATAATTGTAAATAATGTATGTGTTACTGGCAAATTTCCAAATGTTCTTAAAATTGCAAAGATAATACCCATCTTCAAAAGTGTTGATCCTGACCGGGTTGATTCCTAAAAGATTCTTTGAGTGATTATTCAAAGAAATTTTAGATGGGATGAACAAAGTTTAATGATTTCAAATAAATTTGCGAGAGTAGATTATATCATGTCAAGGTGTAGGAAAGTTTTCCTGTATGGGTGCTCTATCAGATTTATTATTCAATCCTCTATAGTCAAATGACTTGTTGGGTTAAGTGTCTGGGGCACACATTTTGGTTCTTTATAACGAATCTGGCTATTACAAAATCAGGTTTTGAGGCTCATGCTGGGACTTCCTTACCGTGTAACTGTTATTCAAAAATTCAAATAATGTGGTATATTCATTATTTATCAGGCCTGTGTCTACCGATCCATCTGTGTTGCCAAAGATTCAGCATTTTTAATCCTGATCTCAAACTGTTAATTCTTTCCAGAGAAAGCCTTTACTCCTTTCGTCACTACAATCTATTTTACTATCCAAGAATGTTTCAGCTCTAAGTTCCAAGTATTTTTACTACTTGGCTCCTGTTATTTTAAATAGACTGAAGCTACATGTTTGGATAACCCCTAATTTCAGGTCATTTAAATTAAAGGTTTTTAATTATGTTTTTCAATACTTTTTTACATTTGGAATAACGATTGCGTAAAACATATTTTGTGTTTGGTTACTTATCCTATATGGCTGTAACTTTGTAAATAAAATTGAAATTAAAATAATTATCGATATATTTCTGAAATATTTCAATGAAGATAAAAACATCTCAAGAAGTGAGGTATGTTTGCAGTTGGTATTGGAAGGAAGTCTTAGGATGGTTGGCATATCTGTAATAATTAACAATATGTGAATAAATAAATAAATATATATATATAAAACTAAAATACAAATAAGTTTCACCTGTGTTTACAAATAACAGAACTCATCCTTTCTTTATTAATTTCTTCAACCGGTTTCGTGACTTCAGAGGATATATAACAAAACCATTCAAATACAGTTTTCAACTAAATACAAATAAACCAAATTAAATATATATGTTTTCCAAATGTAACATACAATACCCTTCTTGTATAAATTAAGTATATTAAAAAAATGTAAAGATAATAAATAAAATTAGTTAAACTTTATCCAATTTCCTTTCCTTTCTTAATTAAATTTTTATTCTAATTACACTTTCTCTTGTTATTATAGAAATGCATTTCATTCCATAATCTTTCATAATTTAATACATCTTACTTACTTTATTGTCCCTTTTGTAATTTTTATCAATAGTTTCTACAGTTTCACAATTCCGACTAACTTTACACAACCACAACTACTTCTGCCCTCTTACCTCTATCTGTTTAAAGTGGCGCTAAAACAACTTATGAAACATTATTAGAAAACTAAAATTTTTTGTTTTATATTACGTGTCCAAAAAAAAAGTGGAAAACATAAAAAATATGGTTCTTTTAGAATTTTAACGTTTCTCAAAATACATTATTTAAAATGTTTGCTGGCATATAGTGGACTTTTTTTCAGAACATGTAACATGGAATTTATGTAAATTTATCCTTAATCTTAAATTGTCTGTTTCACCAACATACAATTCTCCACAATTTACATATTGTAAAAAATATACTACGTTCTTAGAATTGCAATTAAATTAATTATTAATGAAAAATCAGGTTTTCAAATGATTGTTCGTTATTGTTTTTGTAGTTTTCATGTAACCTAAATTACATAAAACACAGTTCTTTCTTTTACAATTGAAAATACCTTCCTTAGAAAAATCTTTCTTTATGTTCATTCAATGATATATACAAATTTTTACAACTTTTCTACCCATTGCTGTACCACAAATTTGATGAAAAATTTGTTTGTCATAAGTAAAAAAATAAACAATTTTTAAGAGTATATCTAGGCCTTTTTAATCAAACACTTATTAAGTCTGGGGTGAAATAATTCTTCATATATATCTGGAAAACATTGCACAGCTTCAAGTCGATAATCGGTATGAGAATGTTTATGTTATATGAGATTCTCTGTAAAATTATATCCTAAAGGGTAACCTTTGAAGTCACGAAACCGGTAGAAGAAATTAATAAAAAAGAAAAAAAAACAGAAAAGGTTTGTTATATATATATATTGTAGTCAATTGAAAAACAGATAAACAATTACTTATTTATTTATATTGTAAGTTCTTAATTCTGTTGTCTTTGAAACTATATTTATAATAATACTATGTATATATTGAGGGGAAAAAAAAGATAGTTTGTTTGTAAATAAGATTGAAAAGTAAAGTAGAAGAAGAAGAGATTTTTAGGTCTTGCAGAAAATACAAATATCATTATCACTTTGTTAAAACTAACGCGTTTTCGGCAGATGAACAGAAAATGGACATCGAGTGCTGTAAGTATCCTCCCAGTCACCGACATCCTAACTGTCTTGTCATTGACATTCCACATGATGACCCCTTCTACAAGTTCTTCAATAAACAGTGTATGGACTTCGCTCGAAACTTGCCAGGTCCGAGACCGGGATGTACACTGGGTGTGTATTTATGTATGTTTTCTAATAGTCTGAGATCGTGAGATGTAATGGTACTTACTGAACAAATATATGAAGCATATTTGAAAAACAGTGTAAAAGTTGAATAATCTACGCAAATCTAAACTATTTTGACTTACCGTGTGGAGTTACTGTAGTAAATTTAGAGAAGGTCATAAACTCAAAAATAATGAGATATTTAAGAGTGTATACTTTCACCAGCAATGGGTACTAGTTGAGCAAGTATAACTTTAAATTTCCTATATATCTTTTATTTTACTTTTTATGTTTTTCCAGGTCCTCGTTCTCAAATCAACACGATATCGTCTTACATCGATGGCAACTTTATGTACGGAAGCTCCCACAAAGTAACGAAGAGGCTGCGTGAATAGACCCATTGCACTAAAACAAGGAACCTACCACCACGGTATCAATAGTATACTTAAAGGCCCATTACACTAAAACAAGGAACCTACCACCACGGCATCAATAGTATACTTAAAGACCCATTGCACAAAACAAGGAACCTACCACCACGGCATCAATAGTATACTTAAAGACCCATTGCACTAAAACAAGGAACCTACCACCACGGTTTAAATATATTATTGATATCGTGGTGGTAGGTTCCTTGTTTTAGTGTAATAGGTCTAACTATACTATTGATACCGTGGTGGTAAGTTCCTTGTTTTAGAGCAATGGGTCTTTAAATATATTATTGATATCGTGGTGGTAGGTTCCTTGTTTTAGTGTAATAGGTCTAACTATACTATTGATACCGTGGTGGTAGGTTCCTTGTTTTAGAGCAATGGGTCTTTAAATATACTATTGATATCGTGGTGGTAGGTTCCTTGTTTTAGTGTAATAGGTCTAACTATATTATTGATAAATCTATCCAGTTAGTGCTGAGGTTGAAATCGTTGAGTAAAGATCAGTTCTTTGCTCATTTACAATCACACAAGAGTCATGCAGAAAAACCAAAGTACATTTAGATAATATTACCAACCCTTGGTCTAAATGAATGTGATGTTGTACTTACCTCTAGTTCCTTCCACATCATTCTCCGTTCGAATTCCACCTTAGAATACCAGAATATCTTACCATTAAGCTAAAAAAAAACACTTATTAATCAAAATATGAACGCAGTATCTCTACATCTTTAATCGTGAAAACGTAAAGAATGAACATAACATGAACTTACTAAGTTACGTAACTTAGTCATGGTATGTATGTTTTTTTTTACTTTAGAGTTTCAATTGATAACTTTGGAACCCTGTAAACTTTTTAAACTTTCTCAGCTAAGACAAGTGTTAAATAAGACAAAGAAATTTGCAAGGTGATAAATAAAAACAAAGCTATAGAGTTAGACAACAGTACGAGTGGAGAACGTACGTTTTTCCAAAACACTGCTTCATATCGTCCTGGGTGTATTGCACGATCCAAGAATGGTCAAATTTCTAACTACATGAATGCTTTCCTAAAACATGTAAAAAAAGAATAATATATTTTTATTTAACCTCCTCGTTTAAAAACGTTTACGCATTTTCATATTTATAGAGAAGTAAAATTCGACATTACTTTTTTTTCAGGTCGTCTAAGGACTCTACCGCTATACCGTGAGCTAGGAGTTAAAGATATTCTTCCAATGAAAATGGTGGACCCTGACGTTGGCTGTACAGCTCGGCCGAGGAACATTTATTGTTTTGATGCAGGTACGTTCTAGTTCCTTGTAACAATCAT